CACTGCTATCAGTGGGCTTCACACTTCTATCAGATAATTCAAAACAAAGATACATTGGCAGTAAAACCAGAAATATGCACTGCAAGCAGAGATGAAGCTGTGAACAAAAGCAGGGATATCGGTATATGGTCTAGTATTACCAATATTTATACAGAAAACAGTAAACACCAAAGTAAGGAGCACCATCATCATCAAGGGCAAAGGCAACACAAAGAGTTGAGTGAAAGGGTAACCAACCACGTAACATGCTAAGTGGAACAATCTCTCCTGAGAAAAAGCTATTGAATACAAGAGAATTAGAAAGTAACATCAGAAAATCAGGAAGAAATTAAGGCAGCAGGGGGCTTCAAAATGCATTCTCATAATAAAAGGCATCAGGCTTATGCTTCGCTTTATACAAAGACAGCTGAGGGAGAGGGGGGAGGTCAAGTAAGGAAAAGAGTGCCCCTAAACAAGAGAGAAAAAATAGTCTTGGAGAAGTGATGGTCCCACTTCCAGTTACATCTTAAAAAAATGAACAAGAAAATGTAGCACAAGAGTATTGAAGAGGTGAGACACGGTGCTGCTCAGGGGCTGAGAGGAAGGGAAGGACAGAGGCAGGGTAGGACCTGTTCTCACAGACCCCGGGTGTGCACAGACCCCACTGCCCCCTCCCACTCTCTGCTGCCTGGGGCACAGCCCCACACACAACTCAGCACTTTGGATGAGGTTCCCACCCCTGCACAACTGTGCACACACCCCAAACCAAACAGCTCCTCAACTGCCTTCAAAAGATGTGCTGAGCTCACAACCACTACAAACACCGACCTCAACAGCTGCCCAAAAAGAAAATAAATATTTCCCTTTTTTTAGATGCTAACAAAGGTACGAAGAAGAATTAGCACAGCTACAGAGCTGATCAATATGACAGCTGCACGCAGAATTCCAGATTTCCTGGCTTCCATTTCTATACTTCAATCACCACTGACCTACATTACCTTTGTATTTATTACCTACTTCTAGGTCCCTCGCTATTTTAATCTGTAATCTGCCTATTTTACTTCCTGTTCACTTCCCTGTAGAATTAGACTTTAAATAAAAAAAAAATTAGCTACTACTTTGTGACTAAAAACCCCATACTCTCTTTAACCCTGGTTAATGCCACATGAAAGACATGATGCCCCATTTTTACATTCATTAATATACACTTCACAACAGGCCAGGTAACTTCGGCTATGCTCTAGGAAGTTCTAGTCTTCAATTTTATCTGCAGCATCTCTGCCAAACAGCAGGTACAGGTTGTACTAATACCTGTGATATCAGCAGTTTCACTTGTCCCCATGTTAGTGTAGCTCTGTTTTTCAAGTTACAGCCTCATTTACTTATTAACTCCCGAACTTCTGTCCAGTGATGGAATGCTGGTACAAGGCAGAGCAGACCCTTTTCCCTAGAGAACAGCTGAGTATCATGTACAACAAATTAATATCACCTTCAGTCAGAAGAGTTTGTCGTGTCACTAAAAAATATGAAGAGGTCAAACAACTCATCTGCTTAAGTTATACACTGCCTACTCACAAATACAAATATTCACACTAGAGAGGCTCAAGGAGCTTTACTGAGTGAGTGACATCAGCTTTAGCAGCAGTTAAGATTTCCATGAGCTCTCATACTTGGAAAGGCAACCTTCCAAACCTGAACTGCACCAAGCAGGGCAGGCTGTGTGTGCCTGAGAACAGACAATCTGGGTTTCTTTGCTGCTGTCCACAACCTCCTCACACCATGGCCTGACACACTCACTCACTCTGTTGGACAGAGATGCCACTACAAGACTCTGTACACAAGGAGCTACCAAGAATCCGAACATTTCTGTATCCCTTGCTCTCTCACACAACACCACAAAGGTGCTACAGGATCCACCCATCCCTACCACACCACCTTCAGGAAAACAGATCAGCAGTCACAGGAACACAAAAGAAAAGAAAAAAAGGAAGATAATGGAGTTTTTTATCATAAAAGGAGGAAGTCTGAAAGTTATCTCACACACTGGAAACACTAAAGTTGGATCCCTTCACAAAACAATTACCACAGACTTTCCCCTCCTCAAGTCCCAGAAATTTAAATACCTTTTCCCCTCTTTCTCCCAGCCCAGAAGAATGAAAAGGTTCACACTGAACTCCTCAGAAAAACCCACAAAATCCCCTGCCTTTGCTGAGCTCCTGAGTACCCAGTAGGTTTTCAAACCCTGCCAAACAGGAATGCACAGGAGTAGGCAAAAGAAAGAATTTGGCAATAGAACGGGACATGCAAATAAACAAAGGGAAAAATACAAAGTGTAGTTTAGAGGAGCAGTGGTGGTAAAACAGGGGGACAAAAAGCTGCTGTGCTCTATCACACAGAAGTGGAACAGGAAAAAAAAAAGAGAAAAAGAAAACAACACAAAATTCCCTGCCATATTAAATGTGGGATACTGGAGCACCATGCAAAGGAAAACATATATGTGTTCTACTCTGTTTAAGCCACTACAGACCAAATACCTTCTAGCCACACGTGTGACATGTCACACTTCCAACGGTATTCCACTGGGATTCTGTGCTGCCTCATTAACACCTCAAGCATCAGAAACTGAAATAAATCACTCAGCATTTTTACACATCACTTACAACATAATAAAAAGCACACCTGTTCCATCTGCTAACTTTAAAAACAAAGCTCACTATAAAAAAAATTAAATATATATAGTTTCTCTTATAGTTTGTGCGAGAAGAGAACTCAACCAGCCTCGAAGAAAGGACTTGAAG